CTCTTATATTCCCAACTTCCACTTGTGTCCTCTTGTGCCCAACTACTTTGGCTGGAGGGTAGAGCGACGGGCTCACTTCATGCAGGTCGGCGTTCAATCCCCGACCGTCCAAGTGGTTGGGCACCATTCCGTCCCCCCCGTCCCATCCCAAATCCTTATCCTGACCCCTTCCCAGTGCTATATACTCGTAATGGCTTGGCGCTTTCTCTCAATAATTCCTTTCCTTGTGTCCTCTTGTCCTACTTTCTCTCAACTTAAAGAAGCTATCCTTGTCCACCTTGTCTATTCCCCTCGGTATCTTTTATATTGTAATATATCTTGTATTTCCTTCCGTCTTCCAAGGTTGTGAAGCCCAGTTCCTTCAGGGTATCCAAATAGCATAACCCTCTTACCTCTGCCACTAATCTAGTTACAAACTTGTGCGCCTTTCAATTTTAGTTTTATGCTTCACAGGGTTAAGGATTCCAGGCCGGTGCTGCATATTCCAATATTAATCTATCAAAATCTGTGGAGCTTGTCTTTAAAGCATCCGGATTTAGGTTTCTAAACGACGTTCTTATGTTCTCCAGCGTTGTATATGCTCCTGATGTCATCCTGCCCATGTGTGTCTCTGGTGTTAGTGCTCGAGTTGCAATATATCCACGCCCAAATATCTTTCTTCGAGGCCTGTAGTTACCTTCCATTTATGGCGTAGACACCTTCTGGTCTTCTTTCTCCCATCTCCATCTGTATTACCTAATACTAATTACGATTGAACTCTAGCAACCAGATGTTTGTACACTCCTAGAGATTGTCAAGGTCTTCCTTTAACATTCTGCAGTCGTCTTCTGTTTTTACATTCCTCATTATCTTGTCACTATCTGCAAACACTGACATGTACGAGTTCACTCCCTTACCTTGAGGTTACTTGAGGTGCTTCCGGGGCTTAGCGTGCGGCCCGGTCGAGTCGACCAGGCCTCACTGATCCTAGGCTGTTGAAGCCTGACGTATGAGTCACAGCCTGGTTGATTAGTAACATTTATATAAATTAGTAACAGTAGTGGTCCCATAACCCATTCCTGGGGTACCTCTATAGGCTGGTTTGATCCATCATGCTGTTGTACTGGTCTCTCTGGTGGCTGACTTTCCTGTTCTTGTGCACTGCTTTCTGCCCCTCTTGTGTTTAATTTCTTGTTTTGCTTCTCCGATTGTCTTTGTTTCCTCTCGGTCCTCCTTAGACATGTCTTCCCATATAGTATACATTAGACAAGTCCCTCTATAACTTAAATTTGACTTTTCAGCCAGTAATATAATTTACTGGAGCAATGTTTTGAAAAATTACTCTCACTGGTCGATTCCTCCTTATTTAGAACATACCAAGCTTACAGTAAAGCTCTATTTCCTTGGGTGTCTTTAACCCTAACCTGATGGGGAGCCGGTCGGCCGAGCGGACAGCACACTGGACTTGTGATCCTGTGGTCCTGGGTTCGATCCCAGGCGCCGGCGAGAAACAATGGGCAGAGTTTCTTTCATCCTATGCCCCTGTTACCTAGCAGTAAAATAGGTACCTGGGTGTCAGTCAGCTGTCACGGGCTGCTTCCTGGGGGTGGAGGCCTGGTCGAGGACCGGGCCGCGGGGACACTAAAGCCCCGAAATCATCTCAAGATAACCTCAAGATAACCTGTATTCTGATGAGAATTCAACTAATCTCTTTTTTTTTGAGATATATACAAGAGTTGTTACATTCTTGTACAGCCACTAGTACGCGTAGCGTTTCGGGCAGACCCTTAATCCTATGGTCCCTGGAATACGATCCCCTGCCGCGAAGAATCGTTTTTTCATCCAAGTACACATTTCACTGTTGCGTTAAACAGAGGCTACAGTTAAGGAATTGCGCCCAGTAAATCCTCCCCGGCCAGGATACGAACCCATGACATAGCGCTCGCGGAACGCCAGGCGAGTGTCTTACCACTACACCACGGAGACTGCGTTCTGGTCACATCTCTCTCCTTTGTCACAAGTCTCCTTCTGGCTCTGGTAGACTGTAGATACTGGGTAGATAGATACCCCCTCTCTCCAGCTCCTCCTGCCTGGCACTGTTCACAGCATCTACTACTGATATTTTAATTATCTGTTCCCCCCCCTCTGGCTCCTCAGCTACTTCAGCAACTGTGGCTGACCAGAGAACTACAGATCTTTCACGAGGTGGGAATTGGAGATAAGCGACCTTGAAGTGTAGATGTGGGTCATGGACAGTTAAGATAAACACAAGTGTCTTGTTGTTCTTAGCTTATCGTGCGGAGCACCACAAAGCATACCATAATACACTACTTAGCTTCTGGCTCACTGTGTGTGAGTGTGAGTGTGAGTGTGAGTGTGTGTGTGTGTAAATACCTAAGTGTAGTTACAGGATGAGCTACGCTCGTGGTGTTCCGTCTTCCCAGCACTCTTTGTCATATAACGCTTTGAAACTACTGACATAGTTTGTGTGTGTGTGTGTGTGTGTGTGTGTGTGTGTGTGTGTGTGTGTGTGTGTGTGTGTGTGTGTGTGTGTGTGACTATTGTCATTTGCAAACTATTTAACAATAACCGAGAATAGAATAATATAAGATACATAAGCTCCGAGACCTAAGCACGTCATAGCTATTTAACTTTTAGGAACCTCTCTAATCCATCCACCTGCCCATACAGTTACTACCCCGAGTCAATATCCTAAACAAGGAGGCACGCGTGGTTGGCCTACTGTCTCGAAGGAACTGGTGAAAGCGTAGCATTTCTTCGGTATCGTAGTCGCCGCGATCAAGAGACACGGTAGGGATGGACAAGGCGCGGGCCATCAACTCCGGCAGCGTCGCCAGGTAGGCCTCAGGCAGCTCCTCCCTCACCCCGGGGTCCACACCGTACTCCTGGTAGTCCATCTCCTAGAAAAAAAATTTAATTTTTTTTAATACCAATTGTACTATTCGCCAAAATAGTTTATCATCATTAATAAACATCTTTATTGACAAAAATTAATTCCAATTTTGTCTAATCTGAGGAATTCAATTAAGTCTTATTAGAGTGAGGATAATGCTGGTATTAGCCATCACACAGGACAGAGAGTCATACACAAGACAATAGGTCTGAACTGTAGACTGAAGAACACACACACACACACATTATATATAAGTTTTTCCCTGAATGCTCTGTGTTCCCTTCTCTGAGGCTGTGGGTCCCTATAATTGCACCAGAGATGGTACCCCCCTTTATATATAATATATTATATATAATATCATCATAGTTACAATCAATGTACGAATATGTAAATACAAGTTTCTATTGTGCACTGCCACACAAGGGCAGAAATGAACCCATCCCAGGGGTAAGAGATGCAGCTTAAAAAAAATATGAATATAAATCAAAATTGCTCTTCATTCTTTAAAAAGGGACAAGACAAATTTAGGATAAATTGTTAGCATGTGACTACGAACGACCATAGTAGACTGATGGAAAAAAAAATTAAAGCCAAATTGAGAGGGGTGGGAGGGGTCAGCGAAACTGGGATGCGGAAGAGGGGTCCCTCCCATCTCTCCCACGAGGCTGCGACAGGAAAAGGAGCAGCAGGATAGAACGGTGTGTGTGTGTGCACAAGGTCGGAGGGAACAGTGTGCACGTGGCTGGGATGGAAGAGGGTGCATAAGAATGGAATGGGAGAGGGTAGAAACATTATCAAAAAGAAAGGGAGAGAGAGGGTGCACAAATTGAGAAAGGGAGAGGGTGCAAGAGATTAGGAAGGGAGAGGGGCGTGGTTGGTGAGGAAGGGAGAGGGAAGCGGAAGATAAAGCTCAGGAAGGGAGAGGGTGAGGGAGAGAGATGATAAGGAAGGGAAGAGAGGGAGAGAGAGAGAGAGAGTAAATGGTAAGGAAGGGAGAGGCGGAGGAAGGGCGAGGGTTGGAACAGAAGGGGAAAAGAGGGAAGACAGAGGGGAAAGCAGCAGTAGAAAAGAAAGAACAACGGGGAGGGAGATTGAGAGTGAGGAAGGGCAGGTAGGGCCACCCCTCGCTCGCTTAGATGGTCCAACACCAGGTCGCACGCAAGCCAGAGTCTGGCCCCCTCCCCCCTAGGTCGCAAGCCAGCGTCTGGGGCCCTCCGAGGTCGCAAGCCAGTGCCTGGGGCCCTCCGAGGTCGCAAGCCAGCATCTGGGGCTCTCCGAGGTCGCAAGCCAGCGTCTAGGGGCCCTCCGAGGTCGCAAGCCAGCGTCTGGGACCCTCCGAGGTCGCAAGCCAGCATCTGGGGCCCTCCGAGGTCGCAAGCCAGCATCTGGGGCTCTCCGAGGTCGCAAGCCAACGTCTAGGGGCCCTCCGAGGTCGCAAGCCAGCGTCTGGGGCCCTCCGAGGTCGCAAGCCAGCGCCTGGGGCCCTCCGAGGTCGCAAGTCAGCGCCTGGGGCCCTCCGAGGTCGCAAGCCAGCGCCTGGGGCCCTCCGAGGTCGCAAGTCAGCGCCTGGGGCCCTCCGAGGTCGCAAGCCAGCGCCTGGGGCCCTCCGAGGTCGCAAGCCAGAGTCTGCTCCCCCCCAGGTCACAAGCCAGGGTCTGCGGGGCCCCCCCGAGGTCACAAGGAGCATCTGCGTGTGCGGGTCCCTGAACAATGTCACAGTGGTCTACATCCTCGACATACAACCGAGGGACCCCAGGATCAAAACAGAAAAATCTGGACACTATTCCTTTAGCCTGATGTAACCGGGAGTTAGACAACTGTTGTGGGTGGTGGCATCCTGGAGGTCAGCTCACCCAGGTGTTCGGGGTTGAAATACTTGTACACAAATAACGGTCGAAATGCACAAACAAAAGATTTTCAAGTACAGTCCATCAATTAGTGAGGCAGAGTACAGAGCCTAGTCTTTAATGGCGAGTAATTTGAACCCATTGATAATGATTTTCAGAACATTTTTTTCCTTATTATTATTCAAACTACATTAAAATTTCAAATGATATTACATTTTAAATCGTGATAAAAATTTATCTGTAATCCAAATGAGTCCGTCCGTGCATGGGGGAGAGTAGGGAGGATAGTGTAGGCTGGTGTTTGCGTGTGGTGGGGGGCGTTTGCGTGTGGTGGGGGGCATTTGCGTGTGGTTGGGTGGGGGAGGGCAGCTCACTAAAGATGTGTACATTACGCTGTTGTGTACATGTATATATAACATTAACAATTGTGTAACTAGCTTCAAAAAAAGATTGTCACTAAACGAACTCTGGGGTTCAGTTCCTGAACCCATTATGTGCTTCTGTAAACCTTTCCACCACCGCCCACGGGATGGGTATGGGGTGCATAATAAAGAAAGAAATTTAATTGAAATTGTGTACAAGTTAAGGCTCGAGTGGGCGTGTGGGGGCCCCAAGCCTTGTGCAGGTGACCGTGGGCTACCGAACACAGCCAATGAGAGGCGTTGTTGTATATGCTTCCATCACAAATGCTTCAATACCAGTACCTAAAATATAATGTTAGTTTATATGCATAAGGAAATACCGACTTGTAATAAACGGTAAATTAGAAGTGATGAAGGAGCTTTGGGCTCGGGCGCTGGATGGATGAGAATCGTCTGAGGACGGGTTATTCAACCCGTCCTCAGACTAAATTAATTCCATCCAGCCAGCCCGTCCTCATAAACAAAAGGCCAAAGTTCATTTCATGCACCCGCCAAACCCCCTGTTTATGAATGAGAAACTTTACACACGACTCAACCGATGACGTCCGAACACATCCAGAGCTTCGCTGACGACTTTTGTTGGAACCGCAACGCTGTTAATGCTTCACCCACGTACTACAAATACAAATAATCGCCAGTGGAACCTAAACAATAACCTAAAGCAATAGCTATCATGCCCGAAACGCTTTGCGTAATAGTGGCTTTAGGCATTGTATGTACTAGCTCTATCTATAAGTCCACCAATCTTCGTAAAAATTTCTTGTATGTATGTACCTTACCTAAATAAACATTTATTTATTAAATATGCACAATATGCCAATATATAATAATAATTTATGTATGAGAAAATTTCTAGTTTGAACGACATGTTAAAATTTATGACTGCGTCTTTGGGGTCGACTACTGGACGTAGCCTGTCCTCCAACCCCCCCTCGCACTAGGCTGGTTAAAGCAGCGGCCGTCCTCTACATACGCATTTCATCAATTTCAACAGTGCATTAAAAATTGGTTTGTTCTCATATATATCAATTAATATTATACATAAAAATTCTATGTATAGTTAGGAGTAGGTTAGGTGTTTAAGTACTGTTGGCGATTATTTGTATTCGAAGTTACGTGGGTGAAGAATTTCCAGCAACCCGTTCTAGACTAAAGTCCATTACAGCCAGCGGTCGACCCCACAGACGCATTCATAAATTTTTACATGCTGTTCATTCAAAACGGGAATTTTCTTAAATATAAATTATTATAATATTAGTATATTATACAAATCTAGGCACTGGTTAGGTTAGGTGTTTAGATTCTGTTGGCGATTATTTGTATTTGTATTACGTGGGTGAAGCATTTCCAGCGTTGTGGTTCGAACAAAATTCGTCAGGGAAGCAATTGTTCCGGAAGTGTCCGAACAAAATCAGTTGCGAGTCGTGTGTAAACCGTTTTTAATTCATAATCAGGGGGTTTGGCGGGTGCATGGAATGGACTTTGGCTTTTGTTTATGAGGACAGGCTGAGTAATGCGTATGTAATCTCAAAGAAACCTCGACTGCATAAGACACATGCACATAAATGTGCAAAATAATAGTGTTAAATATTAGTATTACTTTACATTCATAATCAATGTAGCTTAAATATGTTGTTTACGCTCATTGTATATATAGTGCTTTCATCACTACTAAGCTCCCGCGACAAAAGTGACTGTTTCTATTGTCAGCTGAAGTGGCCAATGGCCAGTCACAAACACAGCGAGTTACCTCCAGTGTGGCCGCCCTTATGATAGCAACCAGAATGAGTAGAGTGGCCACGCCCAGCAGCACGCCCACCACCGTCGCCACCACGCGACACACACGCCCATACGCTACCATCTTCTCTCAGTTGCCGCTGTTACTTCCACCACCAACTGAACAAGGACGCTTGTCTCCACCAGACTGGACTGACGAGCCTCGCCACTGTCCGCGCTGAGAAACAGAGAGCTGACTAATACGTTTGGGTGCGTCCGATTCCACGATCCGTCGTGTCGCTGCTCAATAAGCAATAACACGTGATGCTGACATCGCACTGTGAAGCCCTCATCAACTTATCTGTTGGACAAGAAGTAAATGATATAAAACTGTAGTGTATCTAATCTGTTCAATATATGGAAGATCTGAGCATGGTCAAGGCTGACTAGTAGACAGGCCATAATGATACCAAAATACACCTCCAAGGTTCCAGTAGTTATAGTCTGCGAAACACAAATTATTCTGAAAATCTATCATCGAATGGTTATATTTGTTGTCCTCACTAAAGTATTAGGAATTACTTATAATCTGTATCTTGAAATCAAGCATGAAATACAGCAG